GTTTTACTGTAGATCACAAAGTCAGTAAGTATTATGTATATTTTCATCATTTAAAACTTTATTCCGCTAGAAAAAGTCTAATTATTTCATAGTGAATTTGGACCAGATCGTTTTTAAACAAACATAAATTCCATATGCAAGAACTAAAAGTTTTATATTTTCACTTTTAATATATTTAAATATAAAAAAAATCATAAATAGTTTTCATTTTATTTTGAATGTGATGTGATTCTCTTGATATAATAATGGGGGTGTCGATATAGTACATAATAATTATGGAATTTTCAGAATCGCAACAAACCAACTGAAATTCAGAATTCAGATTTAATTAGAAAATACTATGAAAAGATCTTTTTTTCAAAATTTCATTGCAATTGATATAGTTGCACTTGATGGATATTATATACGTAAACTAGTAAAAATAAGTAATTTCATTTGAACTTTTTTGGGGTATGGAGTTTTTAACCGTTTAAAGTTTCGTATTTTTGAAAAAAAATAAATAAATATCATGATCTGTTTTATGATTATGAACTTGACATGAAGTATTAGAGGGTATTTTCAAAGCCTCCAAAGTTGCTAGAAATATATTGAAACCCTCTCACAAAAAACGGAAAATGACATAAGGACCAGCAAGCTTTCGTTCAAAGTCAAAGTATTGTCTTTAAATCAAATTTCCAATTCAATTTTTCTTCATCTCGAGTGCAAAATTGCCCCAACCTTCTAATAAATCTACGAGGCTAAAACTCGGTATAGAATGCTGCTTTATAACAAGCTCGACACTTAAGTATTGATAAAAATTCGTTGCATTAAAATTTTTATAGTAAAAATATTTTTTTTTTATAAATATCCAAGGAACTGTGTTTCTTTTTCCTTAAATTAAGGATATTTTGTTTTATATTTCAAATCCTTAGAAGTGGTATGGCATGAAAAGTTTCCTAAGTCAATAATATGATTTATATTACTTTATCGAGTGCACCCAATAAATTTTTCCTTGAACTAAATTATAAAAAATAATCCAACGAAAGAAATTTTAACAAAAGTTAAAATTTTTTAATAAAGGATGATTTTACACACTTTTTCTGTGCCTATTTTAAACTCTCGTGAAAAATTCAGATCGCTAAGTTAAATTTTAGATAGATTATGGAAGATTGTAAAAACATGTTTTTTGATGTTTTTTTCGCCGAAATCAAAACCACTTACTGAAGAATTTCTTTTATTCTTACTTAAACAGATGCTACACATTAATTTATTTTATTTTATAACAGTCATTGAACAGCCGACCCAATTTTAAGGGTTTACGACTACTAATGTTCAACTCCGTAGCCTTGTAACTTTGAACCCAATCCAGAAGACAAGAAAACTCCTGGATCAAGTATTGGGAGAAATTTCCCTTCGTGGAGGTTTTTTTGATGGAACACATTTGCGTTACATGGGGAGGAAGACCACGAGAACCTTCCACGGTTAGTCTGACGACAAGGGGACTCTAGTCCATGATCCTTCTACCACTGAGGATATTTCACGTCAACACTGTGGTCGGTGCAAGCCGGATGCGGAATTCGCATCGACCAGCCATCCCCGGGATCCAACCCCGGCTTACCTCATTCGAAGGGGAACGCTCTATCCTCTGAGCCATCGCGACTCGATACTACATATTAAGCAAAATTCATGATTAATCATATTTTTGTTGTGACGATTACACAAGACCAAGTAATCCTCAAATTCACAGTAATTTTTACATGTCAAGTATTATTTCTTTGTTATTTTCACTACTTCTATGCTTTTGACCATGTCGCATTAAGAGCTTGTCTTTATTTAAGTTATTAAATCAATAACGTAATCAATTAATAAGTTAAGTTAAAAACTATTTTTTTCTCTTTTTTTAAAACAAACAATAATTTGTAAACAGCAACTTTAGTTTATACTTCTATCCCATGTATATTTGTAAAATTCTTAATTATTTTCATTTTCCAACAAATAGCTGGTCAACCAAGTACGTAATTTTCCTTCCCTCTTTATAAAGAACGTACGCTTCGCTAAATATATTCATAAATATTTTATCATTCCTTTTCTAGCTCACGTGACTCATGTTCACCGTAAGTAGAAATTATATGCAAACTATTTTAAAACATTTAAACTGTTCATGATTTGTTTGAATTTTTACAATGTTCGGATATCTTTATCATTCTACAAAAAGACTTTTCTTCCATTATATTATATAAAATTTATACAAACCTAAAACATCTTATTTACAAACCATATATTTTTAAGGACACGTTGGACATTCTGACTACTTTCAAGTTTCTTCTGATCACTCGTACAACGCAAGAAAAACAATATTCATACTACCATTTAAATTGCAGAATTAAGTAATTTTGATAATAGTAAAATTGGTATTTGGAACCTTATAGGAAAAAAAATATTTTATAAAAACCTTCTTGAAAAATTGAACTATGATTTAATAATTTTGATATTTCTGTTGAATTTATAGATACTTTCGTGTTATTTTTCTTTCAGTTTAAATATTTGAAAAATATAGCTACCAATAGAAGCTATTCTCAGAATTTTTAATTTATGCCTAAAACAGATCATGAGCTCACATGCAAAAGTCAAAGTAGCTCTAACTTGCGACTATCTTAGAATGCAATAAAAGTATCGCACTGCTTATTTTGATTAAAAATTTCGACTTTATTTCCTTTAAAAAATAATTTATTTATTTCACTATTGAAGTGGGATATAAGTTGTCTCGTTGCTAGTACGATGATTTATGTTAAGTTGTTGTAACTGGGAGAGTCAAGTTCCACACAATAAAAAAGGAAATTTCAAAATTGAGCAAAAATGTATCAAACTAGCTCTTAAATACATATAATCGAATTTGAAAATTCCATGTATTCAAAATTTAAAAGAATGTACTTCTTTTTGTGCAAAATACATAGCTCAGCAGTGATGCGGAGAGTAAAATGTGCGAAAAAGATGCTCGCTAGTAGCCGGCAGGATTCAATAAAATGACTTCCGGTATTGTAGTTGGATGCTCCAAACGTACCAGTTGCGCATAAATGCAGGGAGAGTTAGGCAGCTCTGTATAGTGGCCGTCACAATGACATATCATGAAAAACATTCCATTCAATTAATAATGTTTAAGATAACGCTAAATAAGAAAAAAAAGTGAAATTAAAATAACTGGTCTCCTGACGAAGCTATTGGGTCCATATTTTCCAAATTGCTATCTTTTGAACCATTGAAATTAGAAATTAGTATCTCATTATTTATCATTGCGCCAGTTAGTTTAGAAAGCTTCATAACTTTACCTAGACTGGGACTTACAACTATGGTGGTTAGAGTATCTTACTACGAATTCGAATGTTTTGGGTTAGAATCCTGCCAGCTTCCAAGGAAGATTTCATTCAGACGTTTCTCCCCCCCTTGTATCACTTTTGAGACTATACATTTTGCTCAAAAATGAGAATATGCTGTTTCAATTTTTAATACATTATACTTTTAAATTTCACTATTAATTGTTTCGGAGATATTTTGGCGCATTTCAACTCAAATTTCCGGAACAACCCTTTTTTATAAAGCATAATTTGAATTATGATATTTTCCCATTATTTCTTTAATATAAATTAATAGAAGTTTTAATTTTTCTTCTAGTCTTATACACAAACATACCATTAAGTTTTTTTGTCATTAATATTTGCATATTATATGCTACCATTAAATAATTTGCAGTAACACTGAAATATAAATAGGCAATGCTATGAAAATTGTATAGAGCTGCGACTCATCTGTGCGCACGTGAGAATGAACATTATGTAACTGCGTATGTAGCTATGTGTGTTAATAATAAATGGGTAGTAATTTCATGTAATGCTTATCTTCGTTGGTTGCACGTTTGTTAGACGCTATTTAACCTATGCAATTTAAAAAATAGATAATTTTTCACCCATCAATTGTATAATCTCGGCATAATCTTCAAACAGTCACTATTTAAAGCTTTAGTTCTCCAACGTTTTTGAAAATTGAATGTTCTTTGCGATGAGAGCCTACTATTTATAAGGGATTGAAGATGTCCAAAATAATAGTTTTATTCGCACTGCAAATTGAATCAGCTAATTAATAACATAGTATTAGCTATATATAAAATCATCACAGTTTCTTATGGTAGGCATAAGTTAGGTTCAGCTGTACACAGTTTCCTTTGCATTGGCTACCCCAAATTAAAATGTATTTCAGTGAATATCTTGATACTGAAATTAATCAATGTTATTTTTGATTTTCTGTTTAAGGTTACACACATCGTGAGCATTCAATATTGAAAATATAAATCCTTGCCATGCGTGAAGGACTTTTAGTCGTGCAATTAACGTTAAAATAATAATAATAATAGTGCATTCCTGAATATGTCTTAGCAAAAAAAAAAAAAATAATAATAACGGAGAAAAAGAATCGTTGCATTTTCTATGAAGGTTTTATCAAACTTATTTCTACATAGTTATTGTGATTTCAAAGCTAAAGTTTCAGTAATTTTAACATTATTCAATGAACAATGTCACATTTTTAGCATGTAGAAACCTTTTTCTAGAAGATTTTCCTTTCTAGAAGATTTTTCTGCATGTGACTACCTATGTCTTTGATAATACAACATAGACCTTAATCCTCTTAATTAATTTAATATTAATTAATTTTGGTTTTTGTTGCTCGATAAATTGATTAATAATTTATTGCTGTATACACACTTGTGGGATTTATTTAGTTGGTTTTTCGTAGTTGTTGATAGAATTTTATTATCTAAAATACAAGTCAAACAAATGAAGTAACGCAGAAAATCACTTTTTCGAGATATAAAAAAAAAATTAGTAAATAATTTATCTGCTAGATCTTAATGATAAGTACATAAATAACTAAGAAACTGCACTTTTATGTATGTATATATATATTAAACTAAGAGGCTTTCT